ACTGTATATTTGATTTCGTATTAAATTAACGTCTTTAACGGACATATGGCTCAAGCAATCTACATTTTCTTTCAACGCACTATGTATGATTTTGGACGGCCTTTCGGTCAAATTATCCTTAGTCTTCCTTTTGGCACTGCTACGCACAATCTGTCTATTAAGCGTCTTGATATCACACTCGTGATTATGTTCTAGATTACTTCGGATCACTAACTTTTCTGGCCCTTTCGTGAATATCTTCGCTTTTCACGACCGTTTTACGCACCTCCAATACGTTTCTCCCGATTTTAGTAGTTTATCTTGAGAAAAAGTAAAACTGTTCACTTTGGGTAAAATTTTACCACGATTACTTACTAACGTTAAAATTTCCATGTTCACTTTTCACTATTCTCTGACAAACTAATAACTAGTAACTAAGTAAATTTCAATGACTATCATTAAACCCTAATATCTAATATCTGGTACCTGCGATAATCCTTCCGGCAGCGTCCAAAACAAGGGTACTTTTAAGACCCTCAGGTACTTCAGCGTCGAAAACATGCCCACATTTTCCTACCGTAAACCCCAAACCCCAACCCCTCCCCCCCCCGTGGGTGCGCCTAGATTTGTTCAATTCTGCATATTCAAGTTTTTAATAAAAACTACTAATGATTTTATAACTCTAATTTGCTATGTAAATCAATATATCTCGTATAATATTCATACGGTTCTTGGCCATTTAAAAAGTTCAAAGCTAGTACCTTTCCTTCTTAAACCTCTACTGAGTTTATTGCAGGGTTTATTATAATATACCAAAATTATACATAAGTCAAGGTTCCTACTATATTTGCGAATGTACTTTAAGTTTTCTACATCATTAATTTATCAATCAAATAATTTGCTTATTGTTATGTATTTTTATTCACATTGCAAATAGAGGAAAGATTAGCAAGCATCGCTTATTTTTTTATTGGCTCGTGCATTTCTTATACAATTACGAGATTTAATTTCTTCACAAATTGTCAACATTTTCAATAAAATAAAATGCAAATGAGTTTTTTTCCAAACTATCTAGCAATAATGAAGTTCAGCTTTAACTAATTTATACATCTGAGTGATAATTAACCTTGTAATTAAATTCACTTTTATCGACGAATTGTTTTTAACAAAACCTCGATATCCATACAGTTGAATCGTATCGTGCAAGTCCTAAGAATGTCGGCGGTCCGGAGAATCGTTTCCAATAAATTCTTTACGAAATGGGACTACACCACGAATTTCCGAAGATGTGTGGCTACAGGAAATACAAGCAATATTATAAAAAGTGCTTCTAGTGATATTAGTGTACCTAATGTTACATTTTCCGAATTTATCTTGGAAAAAGCCGAGAAGTTTAATAAATATACTGCATTTGTAAGTTAATGAATTAATTTTATTCAGACAGTTCAGTTTGTAACTTATTAAGAATGTCATTACTATTAATTAAAGTTTAAATTGGGTTTGAAACCTTCCAAATATACTTTGCAAAACAACCGGAAAAACCGGTCCTTATTTCTTTTTCTGCTCTTTTTCACTTAATTTACTTTTTTCTCTTATTTTCTTTATGACGAATTCCACAATAATTATCCACTTTTTTGATGACAAAGACATTGATTTTGAAATTTGAGAGAACACTCTTGGGAAAAATTCTTTTTATTCTTTAATACTTAAAACTGAAGAAAAAATAGTGCCGTCACCCAGAATAAGGGTAATCGTGCCTTTTTTGAGAGATTTCAAAAATTTAACCCAGATTTGCCCGTTATGTCTACTTGTGATTTTAAATATTTTTTTTATAATGGTTTAATGTAGAGTAAACTAAAATATATTAGACGAAAATAAATTTTAAATTTAAATTTTTTTTTGATAAATATTCAAAATTTTGGGCGTCCTATATGTAGGACGATGGGCACTTAAGGGTACCTACATTAACTATACACTTGTATGGTATACCAAAAAACATTTCACAGCGTGTTTGCTTATTTTGAGGAATTACCAAATGATCTATGTGAACAAACCTAATGTCTAAAACTTCGGTGGATGACTTATGACTTTTCGAATGTGTTTAATGTTTTTTATTTTGTATTAATAGCGCAGTGGCTACTTATCTTCGGAATTTAATCTGATCTAGGTCCCCACCTCTTTGTTTATGCAACTGCCAAGCATTGTGCAGAGCTACATTAATACAGTGTACTTCTTCTTCAGAAGCAAATCCACTTATGGATGTTAGCGATCACATTTTCCATTAATTGTCTATTTCTTGCAATATGTATCAGAGATTGTATGTAGTTAATCCCTGTCCATTGCCTTATGTTTCGGAGCCAGGACATTTTCTTGCGTCCCATTCCTCTCTTGCCTTCAATTTTACCCTCGATTATTTGGAGGAGCTGGTATTTTTTATTTCGCATGATGTGACCTAGATACGCCGTTTTCCTTTTCTTGATGGTTTCGAAAAGTTGGCGTTCTTGGTTTATTCTTTTAAGGACATCTATATTTGTGATTTTCGCTGTCCATGGTATTTATAGGATACGGCGATAGAGCCACATTTCGAAAGCTTCTAATCTGTTTATATCCCTCGTTTTAAGTGTCCAGCCCTTTACGCCATATAGCAGCACTGAACACACGTAGCACTTAGTAAACCTTAGTCTCAGTTGAAGATCGAACTCTGAACAAGTCAGTACCTTCTTGAATTTTACGAAAGCTTGTCGAGCTTGCTCAATGCGACATTTTACTTTCCTGTCCGATGCCCAGTCTTCAAAAAGCCACCATCCCAGGTATATAAATTTACTCACTCTTTCAATGGACTTAGTATTCAGTGTTATGGTGGAGTTTTCAAGTGCATCCAAGTTTCTGGAGATGATCATAAATTTGGTTTTTTTTTGTATTAATCTCTAATCCCATTGGCTTACTGTATTATCCGATTATAGTGACAAGTTGTTGAAGATTGACTGTGTTGTCACAAATTAAGACACCATCATCAGCATATCGTATGTTGTCGATCAATACTCCATTCACTTTGATTTCCATCTTTGCATCCTCCAAAGACTCTTGCAGTATGGCTTCCGAATAAATGTTAAATAAAAGAGGGGAAAGCACACATCCCTGTCGAACGCCCTTCTTATATGTATGGGTTTGGATATAGAATTGTCTATTTTTAACTGTGCCGTTTGATGCCAGTACAAGTTTGCAATGCATCTTATGTCTTTTTGGTCTATATCAACTTTCTTGAGGATCTGCATTAACTTGTGGTATTGGACACGATCAAACGCTTTTTGGTAATCTAAAAAGCATAGGAACACATCCTTCTTCTGATCGTGACAATTTTGGACCAGCACCTGTGTTGCTACTATTGCTTCTCGTGTTCCTAAACCTTGCCTAAACCCGAACTGGGAGTTACTGATGTCCCATTCACATGTTTTGTATAATCTACAGTGTACTAACAGCGGAAAATACCATTTCTTGCCCCTCAGCGAAATTCTATAAGGGCTCAAAATTTTGGTCACATCTGTCTACTTCTCTCATGTTTGCATTGTACAAATTTACCAGATGTGGCTGCGACACCTAAAATATGTATTTTAAACTATCATGAAACTGAGCATGTTATAAATAGTAATTAACTGAGCATGTTGTTGAAAATAAAAACTAAATGCGTTTGTAATAATAATCTAAAATCTAAAATCTAATAATCTAAAACTATAACTTACCTGAATATTTGTCCGCTCTTTTCGTGAAAATCTTTTAACCATATGCAGGAAGTTTACGCCTACTAAAACCAGATTCTAAGTTTTTTAACCAAAATGTTCTTCTTCTTCCTGTACCTTGTTTTTCCAATATTTTTCCCTGAATGAAGGCTAAGTCCGCTTTGAGTTCTTTAACTTTCCTATGCACATTTTAATTATCATACTTTGACTGGAGAGTCTCAATATCTTCGCATCTTTCCCTTGCTTCTTTTTCTTTTGCTTCTCTGATTGTCGTTCTTATTAATATATTTATGGTTTTATATTTGTCTAGGTCATTTTTGGCTTCTCTTCTCGCGTACATTAGTTTCAGGATCTCATCTGTCATCCACGATGATTTTTTCTTCATTAATATATCTGTCGTTAAGTGTTTATCCTTTACATTTTGCACTATTTTTGTAATATGTTTGATCGTTTGTTCTTCGTTGGATTCGTCTCTAAGTGCAGTCACTTACTCGTTTAACAGCGCTTGGACTCTTATCCTCGTATTAAGGTCTTTCAGCATACGTAGGTCGTATGATTGTGCTTTCCTTTTTTGCACTGTTTTGTTCAAGTCTGCTCCAGGATAAGTCTTGACAGATGTAAAGCTGTTTCGCAATCTGTTATTTACTAAAATGTAGTCTATTTGATTCGTAATAATTCTCCCAGGTCTGTCTTGAGGGTATTTCCACGTGTACAGCTTGCAAGGTGGTAATTGGAAGAATGTGTTGGTGATAACTAGTTCTGAGTCTTCTGCGAATTTTTCTAGGAGGTCTCCTCTCTTATTTATGTCATAGCATGGAGGATAGAGTGCGCGTCATTTTTACAATGGAAACACCTCAACTCCATTTTCTGACCAGTATGCGCTCCGTATGGGTGTCGTATTTTTAGCTGTGTTAAGGAAATTTGAACTCTAAGTCGATGTTATGAAAATTTTAAAAACAAGTGCCGCAGTTTGTATAATTCGTGATGTAAAATGATTTTTCTGTGAAAAATAATATTTGCAGATATTCTCATGGGAAAATACTAATTTTTCATCTTAACGACACCCAGATAAAATAAATAGGATATTAACTTGGAAATCAGACGTAGTAACAGTTTACCAAATATTGTTGGTACAGAACTGATCAAAATTTTAAATTCAAGAAATCTGAACGACTATAACCCTTATTGTAGTGATCATTTTGACTTAATAACTGTTTAATTTTAATAATTTTTACTTAATGATTGTTTTATATTTTTGAAGTAACAATCTTATTTTATCTTCAGATATCTGGGACAACTGGGAGAAGCTACACATTCGAACAAATCAGGGTAAAAAGTAGGAATTTTTCCAAAGTATTGCGGGAGAAATTCAAGTTAAAAGACGGAGATGTTATAGCGATGTTTTTACCTAACGTTCCTGAGTACGTTATATGTTTCTTAGGATCATTGGAAGCTAGGCTCATAGTGACTACTATGAATCCTATGTACACAGTAGGTAGGTGTATCACAGTGCAATTAGCTTTTGTTCTATAACAAATTAATCAGATTATATAAAGTATTAATGCATCTTTCTATTAGTTTCTTTGTTTATTATATTAGACATGTTTTCATATATGGGATCTGCAAAAGTCTCTGTTTTGATGTATGTTTCATGCTAGTTTATTTTGACACTTAGTGGTCTTAAGATTTCTCCCACATAAAAATTGTTGTTGTGTCGTTGGATTTGGTTTTGAAAAAAATATATATCTCAGTGTGTTTGTTATTGTTACAGATACCTAAACAACTTTTTACTGTCTGTGTAAGTTGCTTTTTGATAAACGACATAGCTAAGTGCTCCGTCTTAGCCCTTGGTTGTTAATACATTCAAGAACATGAGTTGACCGTTATCGTCCAGTAGAGTAAACTGTATTTTTGAATTTATAGAGTTTAGATGCCCATGGAATTTTTGGAGTTTATTTATCCATATATCATATAAAATATCGTCTTCTTCCTCTTATTTTTCTTTCTTGTATGTAGGCTTTTAAGACTATTTCTTCTTTAATATTAGCCTCCTAAATTATCGCACCATCTTTTTATTGGTCTGCAAATACTTCTTCGTCCATTTGGTGACTTATCTCACGCTGTTCGTACTATCCTATCCTCTGCCATTCTACTAATGTGTTCGTTTTACTCCTGTTTCCGTTTTTTAACCCATCCATTTGTGTCTTCTATATCACATGCTCTTCTTATGTTTTCGCATGTCTCCCTATCCGATAGACTTTTCCCTGATATTTGTCGGGTATTTTCTTCTCTGTTGTTTCTAGTACTCGTCTTGTTTTAATATATCAGATCTTGTCTCTGCCGTGTATGTTAATATAGGTCTAATGCTTTATAGATTCTTGTTTTTCTGTCTTGTCTTAGGTGTTTGCTCTTTCAGATTGTGTCATTAAAAGATCCCGCCGGTTTACTTGCTTTTGAGCTTTGTTGTCGTACTTCTTCATAATCTCCGTAACTAGTAGACAGTGAGCGGATTTTTTTGGTTTTTTTTTTGCTTAATCTACTACTAAATCTACCTTAACTATGGAGTGTATATTCCCAAGTGTATACTGCTCGCACACACCCCGTGTATATGTTTTTTAGGTTTTTGTTTTTTTATCTAAACTAAACTACTACTAAGTGTGCGTGTGTTGGGGTGTGTATTCCCAGGTGTATATTATTCTCACACATCATCATCATCTTTGGCTCGACAATTCTCTGTGGATCTTGGCCTGCCCTAAGGTTCGTCGCCATTCTGTTCGGTTTTTGGCAACATGTTGCCATCTTCTAATTTTTAATATTCGTAAGTCGGTTTCTACTCCATCTAACCACCTAATTCGCGGTCGGCCTTTGCTTCTTTTTCCTACAGGTGTTCCTGTGGTTAGCTTTTTAGCAATGGTATTTTCTGGCATTCGTATTATGTGTCCAGCCCATCTAAGTCGCTGTGTTTTAATGAACGTTATGACATCTGGCTCATCAAAGAGCTGATACAATTCAAAATTATATCTTCTGCGCCACTGCCCTTGGTCGTTTACAGCTCCAAATATTTTGCGGAGTATTTACGCTCAAATATTCCCAAAAGTCTTTCATCTTTCTGCGTTAATGTCCATGTTTCTGCTCCATATGTGAGGACCGGCCTCAGCAATGTTTTGTATATAATAATTTTAGTTCTTCTTTGAATGTTTCTTGAGTGGAAATGCTTTTGGAGTCCATAGTATGCCCTATTTGTAAGATTTATTCGTCTTTTGATTTCTTCGCTTGTTTTATTGGTAGCAGTCAATAGCGACCCAAGGTATATGAAGTTGTCAACACGTTCAAAGGTATGACTTCCAAAGACTGTTTCTCGTTCCTCATTTGCTATCGGATCCTTTGTAACCAACATGTACTTGGTTTTGTCTTCGTTGATGACTAGACCGACCTGTTTCGCCGCTGTTTCCAATTCTAGGAGATATTGCTCAACATCTCGCTTGCTACGCCCTATTATGTCAATGTCATCAGCATATGCTAAGACTTGTATCGATCCATTGTAAATAGTACCGCCGTCCCTAATTCGTGTATCACGGACTGCCTTTTCCAAGGCAATATTAAATAGGAGCCAAGCCAGAGCATCTCTTGTCTGAGTCCATCCTTTATCTCAAAGGATCTAGAATTCTCTTCCTGTATTCTAACAGTGGCTTCTAAGTTAGACATTGTCATTCTCGTTAGTCGGATAAGTTTCTCTGGTATACCAAACTCATGCATTGATTGGTATAGCACTGTTCTCTTGACACTGTCGTATGCTGCCTTGAAGTCGACGAATAGGTGATGGGTTTCAATATTGAATTTTAATGTTTTCCCGAGAATCTGTCTTATTGAATGAATCTGGTCAATTGTTGATTTTTCTGGAGTGAATCCAACTTGATATTTACCAACTATGCCCACTGTGTAAACTTGCAACCTTTCGTAGAGAATATTTGCTAGTATTTTGTAAGCAGTTGTTAACAGGGTTATACCTCTATAGTTGTCACACTGGAGCTGGTCACCTTTTTTATGTAACGGGCATATCACGCCTTGAGACCATTCACAAGGCATGCTCTCATTATGCCAAACAAGAAGTAAAAGCTTATGCAGTGTCTGTAGTAGGGCATCGCCACCATTCTTGTAGAGCTCACTGCAAATTTGATCAACTCCTGGTGATTTATTATTTTTAAGCTTTTTAATGGCTTGGGCAACGTTTTCGATGGTAGGTGGTCTTTCGTTTGGGTTGAAAGGATTCCAATCATTTTGATTTGCTAGGGTGTTATCTGCTTCTTCGATATGATGGCCATTAAATTTTGCATCGAAAAATTCAACCCATCTATTTAGGATTGAGGCCGTATCATTTAGGATGTTTCCTTCTACATCCTTACAGCTCCTTATTCTTGGCTTAAACTCTTTGCGCATTTTGTTTAGATGTCTGTAGAACTTTCGAGTTTCATTTTGATTTCTTAGAAATTCTGTGCTTTCCAATTGCTTTTGCTCAAATTGTCTTTTTTTTTCTTCTATGTAATCGTTTTTCTTCTCTTCTTAGTGTCCGGTATTCTTCCTTTGCTCTTCTTGTGCATCCAGCTTGATTTGTCTTTAGGTATGCCCTGTTTTTGTTATCTGTTGCTTCTTGGCACTCCTTGTCAAACCATTCGTTTTCTTTAACTGGTTTGGTTTTCCCCAATATTTTTGTTGCTTTCTCAGTTATTATGTTTTTACATTTTGTCCACAGTTCCTCTACGTTTTCCCCCACCTCCAGGCTCTCCATTTCTTCGTCCATTTGTCTCCTATACTCTCTCGCAACGGTTTCAATGCGCAGATTATCAACATTAATTCTGTCTTGTCTCGTGTGTTTATCTTTTTTTAGGTTTGATATTCTTCCTCTGAGTTTTGCCATTACAAGAAAGTGGTCACTGTCAATGTTTGGGCCTCGGTAGCTTCTGACGTCTATGAGATCGGAAGAGTGCCTTGCATCTATCAGGATGTGATCTATCTGGTTAATGGTTTCGTTATCAGGGGATTTCCATGTTCCTTTGTGTATCATTTTATGGAGAAATGTTGTTCCTCCTACTATCATGTTTTTAGTACTTGCAAAGTTTATTAGTCCCAACCCGTTATCATTTGACTTTTCATGTAAGCTCTCACGTCCTATAGTTGGCTGGAAAAATTGCTCTTTGCCAATTTTTGCATTAAGGTCTCCAGCAATGATTTTCACGTCATGACGTGGACATATTCTTTGTCTAAGGTGTCATAGAATTCATCTTTTTCATTATCCTTCTTTTCTTCCGTAGGTGCTTGTACACTAAGTAAGCTATAATTAAAGAATTTTCCTTTAAGGCGTAGATAACATATTCTGTTGTTTATGGATTTAAAGTTAATGACTAATTGCTTTGCTTTTTTACTGACTAGAAAACCACTGCCAAACTCGTGTCGGCTGCTATGTCCGCTATAGTATATATTGTAGTCTCTTTTCTCGATGATTCCTGAACCAGTCCATCTCATCTCTTGAATCGCTACTACATTGGCTTTCATTTTATCAAGTTCTTGTGTTAGCAGTCTAAGAGCACCTGGGGCATAAAGGGTTCGTACATTCCATGTGCATATCCGTAAATCGTTATTCCGTTGTCGTTTGCTAGGTCGGTCGTCGTGAATTAAACAGTCCGGCTTTTCCACTTTGTGCTTTCATAACAATGAGTTTTTTAAAGGGAAGAGGTCGTTAACCTTTTGCCCAACCCCCTAATCTTCGAAGGACCATTTCTCCCACTCTCGTTTGCCCTGACTCTGCTCCCCACTGGGGTTGGTTACCACAATCTTCCACAGAGTTGCTCAGGTTACCAGGGTTCACCGCGTGGAGGTGAGAGTTGGAATTGAGTAGGAGAGGCTAGTGACGCTGACAGGATGCAGCGTCATATTTTACGCATCACTACCCCATTTGAACCCCCTTATTCTCACACACCCCAGTGTATATTGTTCTTATATACTATCGTTTTAGTCTCGCCAGACTGCGACTGAATTGCTTCAAACGCATCCAACCAACCATCTCTTGATTGGTTGCAGCAATTCTGTCTCAGTACCGAACAATGTGACTTGTCCTAGCCTTTCATATAGATAGATAATTCCTCATCGCAATTCCTGTGTTTTTTTCTAGAAATAACCATCCTGTATAGATAAAAAGAATGACATTTTGAATAAATGACAAATTAAAGCTAATAATGTATTAGAAAAATCACGCAAACTTTACCTCCAAACACATTTGTTTTAACTGAATCATATTATTCGTACCTACTACGTAAAAAATGACGGAGCAATAGAACAATAGGTTAATAAATTTCACATTAGTTACATAATACACGCAATCTATAATATCAACCCAGAGTCTAGAGTTCACTCGTCGAATATCCTTAAAATTCCGTTAAAAAATTATTCAAACATGCTCTCACTACAAATTTTACTATATTTTTTATTTAAACGGAAAAA